CCTAAAGTCCTGAGATAGCCGGGTCGGAGCGTTCCGAATTGGTTTGTAGAGAGTGTTTTTTTTTGCCAGTCAACTCCGGTACCAAATTGTAGGCTGTTGTCTAAATTATGCCTTTTGTCGGAGTTCGGTAATGTTGGTTGACTAAACGCATCAAATATATTGTATATGAGTGAACAGCGAATAACAGAAAGCATACAACTATGTCGGTTATATTTGCGTAGTGTTTTTCTCAAAGCCTGTTCACATGTCTCTGGAAATTTGTCTACTTTTCGAACGAGTCGGTTTCGATCCAAAAAAAAGCTGCTGTTTTTTTACAAAGAGAAATACCGTGCACCATATGCGATTAGTAGTTGGCGCAAGTTTTTACGCTGATGAATGAGGGATACAAAATTGTGGGTTTGTATCAGATCCCATAAAAAGCTGTTTTACGTTGATTTATTCTCAACTTTTCTTCATTTTTCAGTAGTTTTCTCCTTAGTTGCCTTGTCTATGGTGTATTTTTTTTTCTTAGATTTGTCATTTTCCATACATTTGAAGGGTTCGGTTTCATGAAGGCGAAAGTTTTTGACTAGTGCAGCGGTGTTGACAAGTTTATGAGAAGTTCTGCTCGAATAGCTGAGCTGAAATTCAAATTTCCAAGCATACGAAAACGAAACTTGTTGTAATATTTAGTCCAAAGAGTGTCTATTGGGATCTGTTTCAGGATCTGGACGATGATCCGATGAGTAGCGGTATCATGGCAAATGGATCAACAGGTGACTCCGCCCCACAACAACAACAGGACACACCCCTCTCGCTCTTACAGGAAGTGGCCGAACTTAAGAACAACTTCGTCTACATATCACATCAAGTGCGGGAGTTTTCGTATTCGTTCGAGACTTTGGTATTCCGAGAGACTTCATATAGCTACGAGCGCTAACGAACAGGAACCGATTCATTATTAGGGAGTTTAACAGTGTGTTAGCATATAATATGCTGTGATATTATACTTAACCTGTCTTCTGTGTTTGGTGTCCTTTAATCGACACTGCCGACGCAATAAGCTTATACGTCGTTCGTTTGTATGGCGGTAATGGTAGGGTATAGGTGCAGAGAGGTAGGGGAGCGCTGTTTGTGTAGAAAACGGAGAAGGACGTACGAAAGAAAGGCGAAAATTTGATCGGGTGTTGAGTCGAACAAATTTCAAAAGCGTCGTGTGTTTAATCGCGTACGACAGTAGGAAGTTTTGAAATTGAATTCGACGGCTTGGAAAAGCTGTTGAGGGTCGAGGTTGAAGTAATCGAAAAACATAATGAGTTACAGAGTTGTTTCGAGTTCAATACAAAGAAATACTAAGGAGAGGTTGGTCACTAGTCAGTCGTTCCTTGAGATTTGCTACGAAGGAGCTAAAACTTGGTAATGTAGGCTATTTGCTACTGGTTCATTCACAATAGGGTGCACTCAAACTTTCTCATAGGTTGACTTGGTAAATGTCTGGCCTTTGATAATGAAAATGACATTGGCTGACGAGCTGATTGATCGCAACGGAATGCTTTCATCAGTAAAAATTCCTGATTGTAGGATAAGGTTTTCAATAAATGAGCCCTAGAAGTACTGTTTTTCTCCTCTATTGAAGTTTATGAGATGTTGAATCACGCAGGAAATGGTTCCGTGGGAAATCGATTCGTTGATGAGTTGGAGATTTAGTTTCGTTTATTTCAATTCGTAGACAATGTTCATACTATTCGTTTTTAGTTGATTATCTTGCGCATATGGCACTGAAAAAATTGCCCACTTGAAATTTCCGTTTTGTGGGCGCGTGTGGCGCAGTGGTCGGAGGCGCCATGCAACATACACGTGGACTCGATCCCCGCGTCCATGGCCCACCAAGCCTTTCATCCCTGAAGGGTCTGAAAATTGGTACCAGATTTGTCTGGAAGGATAACAGCACTGACTCGATACATCGGTAGGCCACAGCGAGCCATTGTAAAGCCCAAATATGCATTCAATCACCCCCAAACGATGCTTAATAAAGTGGAATGCGTGGCGCAAACCCTCAGGGATTGATCAACGCCGAGAGCTTCATCCTTTTTATTCTTTATATGACATTGACACGTTAAAAGGAACTTCGAAATTACTGTTTTCACATCCAGTAATTGAGTCTGTTATGCGCGCTACTTTCAAGAAATTTTGACCGGAAGTGGTTTGTTTTCTCCGATGAATCTTTTGAATAGACACGTGCATTTGGGTAATTCTGTTAGGTACCTCCGGTTGATTAGTTGTTGAGTGTCCTTGGTATAAATCCGTCGAGTATTTATGGCGCGGCATCCTTGGTACTTTTAAAATTTCCACTCGGCTTTCCTGACTACATAGCCCTTTTTCTCCTGTTTTGGAGGACTGCATTCTCTATCAGGGTCTTTTCTCTTTGCCACTTCACTGGCTTCAATGACAGCTGTTATAAAATGGGACTATAGTGGAATGGATCGGATCTAGCATTATTAGCAACTAGTTCGTTTGTTGTTTGTACTCAGTCATTATAATTCCCATAGTTTCCCACACGTATCCTTAACTCAGCCGAGTTTTCGTTGCACGCGAATATTGTCATTCATTTTGAAGGGAAGTTCGCAGTAAATGTTTGCTTCAGTCTGTTTCCATAATAGGCACTCAAATTCTGGACACAAGTTGGTCATTCTTAGTGTCATGTTGCGTTTGGTTTGGGACCACCCATGTGTTGTTGTTGTTGGTGTGTGTCGATGGCGAAAGCTTCGGCGACTTGGCCTTCAGAGCCGTTTTGTTGCGTATGGGACCACTCGAGTGTTGCTGATTTTTAGTGCTACTTTGACAGTCGCTTCAGTGTCTTGTGTTCTTTTTTCTTATAATCTCTCTATTGGTCATCAAATGGCTTTAGTTGTTTGGCTTATTGCAGTAGTGAGAGAGAGAGCGAGAGAGAGCGAGTGAGTCCTGGCTATCCGCCCGCCTTCACGTTCCGTTCCGACTAATAAGTGTTATCGATCGAGGGTTTAAAGTAATGCAAGAAACGATAATTGACAACAGCCTCCACCATCAAGTATAAACAAGATTTTCGTGTATGAAAATTTAGAAGTAGTTCTGGATCGAGGGATTGAGTTTCAGCACGAGTTGGCACTAAGCCAAAATATTAGGCAAAATAATAAAATAATATCATGGTAGAAGTGTTTTGGGATAATCTGTCCAATGGTGTAGTCAAAGGTGGAGTCCAAATAGATGTGGCTGGACTGACTTAGGAATGGAAAGTCTAATGGCCTTAAAATATGGGTTATGAATGAGCTGGTGAAAGAGGCAATGAGACTGTCGAAAACTGACAGTGATCAATCATACTCTCTTCAAAGACAGAACCTTTTGCAGAAGGAATTTTGCATCGCAGAACGTTATCAAAGAGTATAGTGAAAAGTACTGAGTGGTCGTAAAACGTGGAGTTCAACAGGTGGTGCCATGAAGTTTTTTGAAAGGTGTAAAAATCGAGAAACAGTTGGCGTGATAAGACGAATATCATATGGTTTAAAAACTATCTGGGTGAAGACAAACGTGAACGCTGGTGTTCTGTTGAGTAGAAAGATGAACGTTTTCTATGGAAGAAGCGATTTCATCTTTAAGTAAGCGTGCTGCCAAAAAAACTGTTAACTTGAGATGTTTGAAATGAACCCGTTACTAAATCGACTTTCACTTGACTTCGGCGTGATTGGTCAGGTAAGGTCTTTAGGTTGTTTAGTTTACACGAGGTTGTTATACAACTTTTTATTCTGCTGACCAAAGTGTCCTAGCGACTTGAGTACGACAGCGCTGGGGACCATTGACTCGGATCATCCGCTCTGAAGAAGACGAAGACATGGAAGCGTTAGCCGGTTAAAAATTGTATAACAACATCGTGTAAGCTGAACAATCCAAGGAAATTTATTCAAATGAATCTGTTTAACAACTACGACAAAACTAGATTTTAATAGGTGGTTTTTATTTAAATAGAGGCACTTTTAGTAGTTTATTTGAATGTTAACTTTTTCAGATGACCAGAATAATGCGCTCATTACACGTGACTCCGTGCATGTGTGAGACATGTGGCCCAAAGCACAGCTCGTTTAGTGACTCTCGAGCACGGGTCAGTTTTTGTCTCCGAACTCTACGAAGGTCTCTGACACGACTGATTTCTTTAAAACCCTTACAGTCAATGTTTTTTTGCCACCTAATTAGATGCTTGGACGGAGCAAAAGTGATTACTCTTTTATAAAGTTATCACGTGCGATGAACTTACAGGAGGACGTCTCAAATGTACTGTCAGCGATTTTTCCTGGAGCCACACCGCAACAATTGTCGGGTCTCGCAGATTTGTCGAAATTGAGCCGTACGCCTGTGCCAGCACCGCAACGAATGGGTTCCGGTATGTGCAAAAACATACTTTCTAGAAAGAACATGCTTTGTTTTGACCCTAGAAGCGAGTTCTTCCTTTTGAAGTAAAGGAATGGGACATTATTATTAATTGTAGACGAAAGGTGGTTTCACAAATTCGGATTAAGGTTTTGGTGCATTAGAGATAAAAAGGATAAAGCTTTCGGCGTAATCAATCCTTGATCGTTGCACCATGCATTCGACTTCAGTGAGCATCGTTAGAGGTGATTGAATGCATGCAGTGCCGCTACCCTCCCAAAAAGTCTGGTACCAATTAATCGACGCGGGAGTGATGGAAAGCTTGGTGAGCTTTGGGTACTTGGGCGAACCAACAACTCCATGTGTATTTCAGGGAGCCTCTGACCACTGTGCTACACGCGCCCTTTTCGAGACATTAACGTTAATGTTTCCATTGAGCTTTTTACGTTTAAACAATAAACAGTAATTAATCTTGAATAAATTATAAATATATGGTAAATACTAAGTGGTAAAAACTTTTAAACAACACACAGTAATTAATACGCAATAAACTGAAGAAGGAAAAACGGGAATACCATAGGTGTTTAGGTTACGCAGGTCATCCGGGTGGTGGAAAAGTTCCGATGCCGATGGCAGCAGATCGTCGAGCTGTGGCTGAGTACGCTCGTGCTTACGGCGGAGCTGCGGCTGCGAAACGTTTCGGAGTTCCACCTCCGGTATCAACCTATTATCATCGGAAAGAAAGCAACAGTGGTAAATTTATTAAATTTGTTGTCACCTTTAACGAATACTAAAATGCAGCTTTTCCTTCTCTTATTAAATATTACCACCACCTCAAGTATTCCTTTTCTTTTTCTTCTAGATAATCTAGAGACTAAGTCAAGCTATTGAACTTCCGTATTCATTAAGCGATAACAGTTTTTTCGCTTACTAATCTAATCATCATTAAGCATTGTTGGCTGCGGTGACAGCGTCACCAGGTCCTTCGTCCGAAGGGGAAGCTGACACTGTGGTCCAACAAGTTGCTTCGGAGAATAGTATCGCCGCACCATCCCAACTTCCTTCGTCTCTTCCGAATATTAGCAATCCTATTGCACTTCAACAGGTTCTAGTCTATCAATATTCTTTTTTTTCAAACTTTTATCTACTACTGTTGTTGTTTATCCAACGATTTCCTTTGCAGCCGCCTCCTACTCCTGGGGCATTACCAACATCTCAGCCGCAAGCGACTTCTGCTTCGGCAGCCAATCCACCACCACAGGCTGCAGCGGGAATGTTCTCACCGGCTGTGGTCGATATGCTTCGAATGAACGCAGCGCATGCAACGGGTTCTCCAGGTTTCTTACGAGGGCGAGGTCGAGGACGTCCGAAATTGATCGGTAGGTTCCGTTGCTAATGGAGATTTCCCCAAATTTAATGCACTGGTGGTAAAGCTGCTCAGATTATTTTTCTCATCAAGTGCAGCGCATTAGTGAGAAAAGCCTCTTTAAGGTGATGAACTTGATGCTGATCTCGTTGATTATATGGTGACGGTGAAGCAAGCAGATCCTCATGGTCATCTGACAGCTTCTCAAGCGCTCATCATAGCCAAACAGTACATTCTTGAGAAAGTGTGTAGAAAATAATAAAGTTTACGATTTTAAACCAGGAATGTCGGTAGTTCTCTATGCTATGGAATCATAAATAATTTTACTCTACCTTTCTCAGGATTAAAGTTCTTAAGGCACCTGGATTACTAGAAGAACATGGTGGTCATGTGAAGCTGAAATTGACATGGGCAATGAAGTTGGTATCCAGAATTGCAGAGCGACAAAAAGTAAGAACCGGTTTCGAATTTGTTAGATACTCGTTGTGCGCTTTTTCTTGCCGATTGTAAGTTAAAGTGTTATTCTATTGAGTTTCTTTCGTGGGTTTTACAAAAAGTTGTTTATAGTTTGAATTTTAATTATTAACAATAATGTCTTCATTGTGCAATCCATTTGTTTAGGAGATGGAATTAGGACTACCAGCTGGTAGCCTATCGAACATGGGACGGCATCAGCTAAACAGCTTAAATAACTCGTTGACTGGTGGTGGATTTATGGCAGATATGATGACGCAGAACATTCTTAGTCATCATATGATGATGAATATGAACTCTCAGATCAAGCAGGAAATTCCGAGTACGGAGGAACAGAAAGAGGATGTTCAGCCTGCAGGTAGTAAAAGGCAAAGTTACATCTTAAAACAAATGCCGCTTAACCACACTTATGTGAGGTATTTGCAAAACGTGGATCCTAGGCCAGATTCGTATCCGTAAGTACTCTTTTCGAGGGCTCATATTTTACCCACTGCACCACTGAGTTACTTTCAACGGGAATGATCTGGAAAGCACAAATCAGCGCTAAACCCAGTTAAGATGAGGCTGTAGTCGAAATCACAATCCTGAGCATTTTATTTCTTGCCTCTTATTTTTTCACGGAAGATTATGCCGCTTGTTTCATTGTATTTGTACTTGTTCAAATCTACGAGTGAACCACGCTATCCGTCATCGTAATGCGCTCATGTCGAACGCTGCAGTTGGTAGCTACCTATGATCACGTTATGTGCTCAACATCTGTTCTGCTGTATGAAACTCATCTTCCACATTTCCATATCTTTGGTAACAATCCCCTTATTTCCCTTATTTTTTTAAAGAGAACTAAAATTCTGAATTGGATATCATCTTCTACCCATTGCAATGTTTACTTACTTGGATTCTTGAATGGTCCGTCTTCACTGGTAGTGCTGGCCCCAACATAATTCCCATTTTTTCGGAGTCTTGCAGGTTTAGCTATTGTGGTTCTTTGGAGACCCGAGGTCAGCCTGGCCAAAGTCTGCTCCAGGTCGTCACCACCACGAGCAGTCGCCGCCCTTGTGGCTCGGAGGGAGATTTGCCACCTTACGACTAGTTTGACACCAGGAGGACGATGGTGGATCCTGGTATTGGTTAATTCTTAACTGGGCTTCCTGATGGAAGCGACGGTCTCCTCAGATTGGCAAGCCCTATGGGGGTATGAACCGCCTCGCTGTACATCGCTGCCGGCCACCCAGAAAATCTCCCAGCCAGGACGAGGCGGTAAACCGTTGGGAAGTTAATTTCAGTGTTTAAATCAAATTATTTGAAATATGCTGCATCGACAAGATTATGAATAGAAGGCAAACATAGACAAATTCCCAAGTTCACCTTCACCATAAAAGCACGCTAATGATTCTCATTGTTTTATATTTTATTGGTAACATTGGATACTAAAACCTGTAAACATTGAGCAAAATAGGCTCCTTTAACTATTCAGTACGATTACTTCTTTTTAGTTTTGAGACCTCACGTCGTTGGTTGACAATATCCATTTTTTATGAGGGCTATACAACTTCTAACTAACGTTACTGATGTACATGTTTGCTTGTAGTTGGTGCACCTGAAATACTCAACATCAAGGAACTCAATCTTCCATTTCTAAATAACCTGTTTGGCGGCTCCGATGAAAACTCAGGTCTCATTGAAGGTGAACTACCTACAGAAAATGATCAGGAAATGAACCTTGCCAATGCTGCAAACTGAAATTTCAGTAACAGTAGTGGTCAAGGTAGTAGTAGAAATTTTATATGATTTCATGCTAATCATCTTTTTAATAATTTTGTTAAACGTTTCGAATGATAGGTGTTTCACAGTTGTCGATTATGTTACGACTTAAACGCTTTGTAGCGTTCCGTCTTATTTTCTCTGTGTCTTCTCTTGAGCGATATCGTTTTTAAACTGTACATCTTTGTTTCTGTTTACGTGTTTTCACCTCGATAGCTCTCAGAAGTTCTCCTCCAAATGTGCTAGATTATCAGTTCTTTGCTTGGATTTTCCTCATTTTCCTCTTTTTCCTTCTGTTTATAGAATACCTACCGAACATTAACCCAAGCGTACTCGTAGTCGTCTCCGCCCACGCTTTGGTGGCAGATCTGTTTCTATTACAGTATTAATCTATCTACTGAACACTATGTTTTTCTGTTAACTAGTTCACACTTGACGTTTTCACCCTTTTCGTTTCGATGATTAGATCATCCTCTACTAGCTGGCTCAACGAGACAAGAAAATACTGTAAACATTGTTGTAAAATCGTATTGGTATTGGCGATTTTGCTTGAGCTCGTGCTAGCGGCATTGCCCTGTATTTCGTCTTCCACTCTTTTGGCTTTATTCAATCTCATTTTATGTTTATAACCAAACGAATACTTATTATTACTTCAGTTGTTTTGTGTATTTCATTTATCGTTTAATTCGCCTACGTTTATATTCGAAAGATGTTGAAGCTCTGCGATGCCCAGTTTTATCGTATGTTTTTTGTCTTCATTTTTCATTTTTCTTTTTTTTTTATTACTTTTTGATTATTTCGAAACACATCATCACTTCACCTCTCTATCTCTCCATCTTTATATCTCCAGTTACGTGCAATAAACACACTTAGTGTACTGTTGTATCTATGAACACACTTCATTAAACATTTATTATGCAGAGACTTGGTTCTTCTTTTTTTTTTTGCAGTATTTGTGGAATAAGGAAAAACCTTTCACACAGGTTATCGGGACAAATGTAATTCTTGTGACTAACTTAGGGTAATGATACTTTTTCAATCTGAACCCACGGAAAAGTGCTCACTTGACTTCCAAAGAAGTTTCTTGTTGTCCTCTTACGCTTTTCTACCGCGTTTCTGATTTTGACTAGATGCACTGTGCTTTTTGGAGAATGTCGTTCAAACCTGGAACTTGATTTACTAGTGATTACGAAGATGTTGTTCCCTGTGATTTCTGCCTACGATCATTCAAATGAGAACAACGTTCCGAATAATCCTCGTTCGTGTTCCTGCTGAGGACTTCGCATTTCGGTCTTCATGATTTGGTTGCATACTTATTATAGATAAACTCTACGGTAAATATCTATTCTTAATAGTAAAGTATCCAGCAGTTTATTTATGGACACCATTTTTTGGAATCTATGTGGCATGACTACGCTGCGTAATTTTCTATTTGAGAAGTAACAGTTTACTCACGAAGATCCGGTGTTTTCCTTCTAGATGAGGATGTTAATTAGTTTCTCAGCACACTGTTCGAAATCGAACGAATATCGTCAGTGAATCAAGTAGATTGGAAAAAGAAACCCACCAAAATACGGCTTTGGTACAGTGCGGTTCGTTGCTCCCATTCCTTTTGGTGGCCTAGTTATAAGATCTCATGTTGCCTCAGTTGACGATTGTGGAGTTGTACATTCAGACGCAAGAGGTTGGGATAATCAAGCCTCTTCACCCCGGACGCGGGATTGCCTAATACCTTTCTCACATACGCATTGATACACGTACGCTTGTAGGGTTGGGTTGTACGTTGATCGCATCCTTAGCTTTGAGATTTCGAAAAATGATGTAATTATCAGGGGTAGTTCACTACTCGACATGGAGGTTTGCCATATGGTGATGAATGTTTTTTCAGTGTGGTTTTTTATTTCTGGGTATTCCATGCATATAACCCGGTGCTAAATCGCAGATTTAGCTCCATACTCTATGTGATGTTATTGTTTCGACTATAATTTGTGATCAGTTTAGGCCTTTAGATCGGAAATGACGAAACAGAACATACGAGCATAAGTGTGATGATTGGGTCGGATACGGTCACCTGTCATCGATGGCGATCATTTGAAAACGTCGAAACGTAAGTTATGCTACAGTTTCAGAGCTGGAGAACTACAAACCTCTGTTACAACTCGGAAACTGCCACGACCGACTTTCTATTAACCTCGGCATTGATCAAGTGATTTTCTTCGTATTTTTGTTGAGCAAACGCGAGGTGTTACTATTCTTTGTTCACGATTAAGCTGACGTTTCGGCGAATTTCGCCTTCTTCAGAGCCGCTTTCTATGAGGCTTCCACTAAGTATGTCACGCAGAGACCAACCGCACAGTAATCACGTGGAAGTATAATGTGATTATCACATTATGCTGATTATATAATATATATATATGAATATACTGAATATATATATATATACTGAATATATATATATAATAAAATATATATATACTGAATATATATACTGTGATTATATATTATACTATACTACTATATATTATACTTCTACGTGATTTCTGTGCGGTTGGTCTCTGCGTGACATACTTAGTGGAAGCCTCATAGAAAGCGGCTCTGAGGAAGGCGAAATCCGCCGAAACGTCAGCTTAATCGTGAACAAAGAATAGTAACACCTCGCGTTTGCTCAACAAAAATACGAAGAAAAACAACTCGGAAAGTCAAAAAAGCATGGACAGGGTATAGTATGGGTTGATCGGAAAGGAAAGAGATCGTCGTTAGGAAAAAAACTAATTTTTGCAAGGCGTTAATATTGAGAAGTTTTTCTTCTCAGCGAATGAAGGCAATCACTAACGACATTGTTACAGCACAGAATTATTGTTGGACAATAGACAGACATAATGTACCACGAACTGCAATGTTTACTAGCGACATCGATCAATCTAATAAGGTCGGTTCTCCTACACGACAGCACCCACAAAGTACAAGTGGCTCAGAAACTGAAGAAGTTGGAATACGAAACATTATCTCATCCGCATTACAGATCACACCTGTCTTAGTCGGAGTGCTATTTCTTTAATCGACTGAGCAACTTCGCACTAAAACGTTTGCTAATCAAAAGCTCAAAAGGCCATAAGATTACACCGTTTAGACGTTTAACCCAACTTCGAACTTTCCGTATAGGGAATGCCTGAGCTCTCACTATGTCGGAAAAGCCATATTTTAACGGTCCTTAGTACAAAAAAAAACGAAAGGGAAAATTGATATCTGATAAAGTAATTGCATTCCTACAAAGATGAATTTCGTGCTAAATAACTTCCACACTGGCGGCAGTTCAAGGTCGTTTCCAATAGAAGATTGTTTAATCTTCTGGGCGGAAGCAAATTTAAGCTATAACCCTGCGACTGAGCCTTGAGAGGTGTAGAAGGACCTCATAGGTATTTTCTTTATGAAATGAGTGTTAATTTCTGTGTCTTTTGGATGAACCAAACTTAACGGATGGCGCTAAAACAAATGTATGTTGAAGTTTTAAGTATCCAGTTGAATGAGATGTCACAAATTGCAATTTCAAGTTGATTTCAGTATCGAACGTAGGAGTTAAGTGTTGAATGTTTACTGAATTCGTCGTTTCATTGAAGAGTAGAGAAAGATTATCACCTGTGAGCTTCACGAATCTTATTTGTTTTTCTTTTAGGATAAACTTTCACATCCGGCTCATTCATTTCGACTTTTAATCGGCTTTAAACATTCGTTGTGTCGGGCTGTGAACTTGGTGAATCCGAACCATTTGAAGTGTTTGGGTGACCTTTTCAGTCAATCAGTTGTTGTTAGTGGCGTTAGGTTGGTGTGCACCATTCTGATGGACAGATGGTGTGGAAAATTTCGATAATAAAGCCACATGTAAAGTGTGTTGCGAATCGTGGCAGATGTTTGACCGGACGACGGACAATGCGATTATTTTATGCTGATTTCTAAGGCAATTTAGTCATTGATGGTTGGGAGTGTTGCGAAAGTAGTGGTGACACACATGGCAACAACATTCCTGTAACCTTTGGAGATTCCTAAAAATAGTCAGTTTTTGATAATTTTGAAGGAACTTCAGCTATACTTATGAGAAAGAAGTAAACAAAGCACCTAGGCCGATTAGTGCTTCTCGTTCTCTTAAATTTATGATTTGGAGCACACGTACTAAGCACATTTGGACAGTTCTTGAAAGGACCATCAACGGAACGGTGTGATATGCATCTTGTGAGTGTACTAAACTTTATGGGTTTTGTGTTGACCTTTTTAAGCAGCTAATTCGAGGCGTACTTCGTAATTCATTTTGTGTTTATAGGATCGTGGCAGATGTTTGACCAGGGGTTTCCCGCTATAACAGCGGAAAAGTTTCGAGATCAGTCACGTTGAGTTCTATGGAAATGACGAACTTCGTTGTGACTTTATTGGTTTAGCAGCATTAAATTTCTTGTGATTTGAGAGTGCATGTTGATTTATGATGTTTATTTCTTATCCTTGTTTTCTGAAAATCTACAAATTATATGCTCTTCAGAAATCGTAGTAGAGTTGCATGATATGAAAGTGTAGTCGTTAGGCCATGAGAGTAACCGCTCATTCAGTTGGAATTCTACGCTGAACCTCCAGCTAATGAATGTCAACCATAACCCGGAACTTCACCAATATGTGAAATATGCTGTATTTTCAATAGTTTAAGTTTCTCATGAGCAACGAGCTAAAACTACCAGTCAGTGGCGAGCTAACCTATTAATAACTCCATGACAAGGTTATGTCACTCATTGACTCTAGATTATTGTCATTTAAATTCATTAATCCAGTACAATTTTAAGTAATAGAAGTGTAGAGGAGTTCGGAGTTGATCGGTTCCTTAGAGATGCGGCTTGTATTCCACTAGGCTTCGTAAGTTTGAATGGATGCTTGTTAGGTCTTCACAACTAGTTGTAGGTGACTATCGGCATATAAAGTCAGTGGTTTTGCCTTCTCGG